AGCTGGGTTCGGTGGAACCCAGCCTGGGTTCGACGGAACCTAGTGGCTGGGTTCCACGGAACCCTACAAATGGGTTCCACCAAACCCAGCTCCACTGGGTTCCGTCGAACCCAGGCTGGGTTCCATCGATCCCAGTGGCTGGATTCCGTTCGATGACCTGAGGAAGAAAAGGAAGAAAGACCCGAGGAAGAAGAGGAAGAAAGAAAAAGAAAAAAAAAAGAAAGAAGCTGGAATAGAATTATTTTATTTTATTTTTTAAAAAATATAAATAATAATATGTGGTGAGTTGGCATAAATTGCAATAAAAAAAAATTTTATGTGGACACGTTTTTAATTTGTTTTTGTCACATCATCAAAAAATCTATAAAAAATGCCACATAAGCCAGTTAACGACCCAAATTAATAGAAGGACTAACGAAGTGCATTTCATATAGTTGAGGGATAAAAAAAGTGCAAAAAATTATTAAGGGACCAAATTAAGCATTTAACCTATTAGTAACTAATGCGAGAAGGCCAAAACTGGTTTCAATTGTCATCAGTAGGTATCATATGGTAAAACAAATATACGGCACAAAATCATAAATCCATAATAACACCTATTTCTAGATTGACCATTTTATAGATGGGAAAGGCAGCAATTTCCAGAATGGTTTGGCTCTACATTAGGATTTGATGAGATACAACCAAGAAAGTAATATCCTAGCTTGGTGCTTGATCGTTCAAAACGGTCGCGGACTTTGTTTATGGCCTTGGCGAACCTCTGATCTTGGTTTTGCAACTTCAACAAATATAACCCTGCCATCCAAAAACTGAGAAAACCAAGTTTAGTACTTGAGCTTGCTCAGAATTCTACAAAACTTAAAGCCATGACCATATTATAAAAGAATATACAAAAGAAATTAGGGTAAGTTGCACAAATCTGTTTCCAATACGGCAACATGAAACTTGCATTTTTGTAGCTTTAAACATTCACTCCTAACATGCTGTAAACAATAAAGTGCTATGGGTGCAAAAGGAATAATAAATAACAAAGAAAGAAAAAGTATGTTTTAAAAATATGAGGGGGTAAGTGAAGTTATTGATATATTTAAGAGTGTTTTTGTATCTGTCTAGGAAATTAAAATGATAAAAGATGAACAATAAGAATTGGAAAACGAACTATGTCTATGTTCCCAATCTCTGAGAGGAGTTTCTTCTATTTTGGCAGGTATCGAGTCATATGTAGTACCAGTCTATAAGTTGGAGTCAAGAATTTTTCTTTGGTTAAAAAATTTACAATTTAATAACATCTAAATATAATAGGCATAACCAAGAAGATTATTCTTATACCCCCTAAGATACCTAGAGTTCTAAATTTTTTGGCCAACAGATAAAGAATTTAACTCATCAAAGCATAGAGACTTCAACAATATCAAAAAAGGGTCAATTTTAATGGAAGTTTTCAGCTTCTTCCTTCTCAAATTAGTTACTCAACTTAAATAATGGGTATGAGATACCTTACTAAAACTATCCAACAAGTATTCCAGAATATGAGTAGCAAAAATATTTTAAATTCTCTAATTTGAAAAAAAAAAAAAAAAGTATTTTCTTCAGTCATGCCACAAGGAGACACCATGGATATATGCTTTTACAAGAACTAACACATCTCATACAAGAGAAAAAAAACATTTTGTATGCAAAACAGATACAATTTAACCTTTTTACTCCCCTATAATAATATATTTTATCCAGAATGGAGCCTTTTTCCTGTAAAGTCATCTAAACCAGAGTTTTCATCATACCCTTAACACATTGGAATCATTATCCATGCTCCCCACCATTTTTTTATAGACCCATTGCACTAAACCAGCAGCATACCTGGGTCACAAGTAAATTTATGTAGAACCAATGGATACCTTAACAAGCAAATTCTTTGATGCCTTTTCATATACAAATCTAAAAATAGCATTAAAAAGTAACCAGTAGATACCTTCCCATGCATTCCCTCAATAGCCTTTTGAGATTCTTCCTCAGTTTCATAACGAAGGAAAGCAAAGCCTCTAGGCCTATTAGCTATTTTATCCATTACCAGATTGACTGCATGGTACAATGAATTACATCAGAAACCTAGAGACCTGATATATAAAACAATAGACAGGAGGAATTTCCATCATAATTGCATAATTCAACAACTAAGTGACAAACACTGAGATCCACAATCATACCTTCAACAAGTTTGCCAAAGTCTTGGAAAGCATTTCTCAAGCTATCTTCAGTAGTACGAAATGATAGACCTGCCATAGATAATGATGTAAATCCAGTTCGTATCAGATAATAAACAAAATGTTAGAGCAATATTGATCTTTCTGAAAGTGGAACATAATAACCAGTCCTAAGTGTGGGTTGTAGGAACATAAATAACCCTCAAGGAAGCTTCTCTTATGTTGGAAATAAAATCAATAATCAGCAGCTGTAAGCCCTTTGGAAAAAGGCCCTTTTAAGGATTGCATAATTGTGCCAGTTAATGCTAATATTAGTATAGGATACACTTCTTGAACATGAGACAAAAATGATATAAAAGAAGTGAGCTCAGCTCTCCAATTAGTTTTTGGCTAAAAGAAAGCTCTACATTTAGCAGGTTTGTCATGTATTGGCATGAGCATAATTAACCCAATCAATGAATCATATCAAGTACAAATTAGATATTGTAATAGAAGAATATAATCTATTCCACCCGAACAACTAAATGTGTCATTTTTCAAGAAAAGAAATAGAAAAACATGTCCTGTCTTATTCAAATCACGAGGTGAAAAGCCATAAAACAAGGTCTGTCCAAGTAAGTGATGCAGTTAAGGAAGAATCCTTGGCAGTTTCAGGACTTATATTATTTAGGATTATTATGTGAATTTGACAATTTAGGGATTAATTTGCAATTTAATGTACTTCTGGGATATAGGAGAAATGACATATTTAATTGGGTTATTGGTAGCTTCCTAATTTTTATTAGGGTCTTAGGGCAAATTAAATAGTGCAAGAGACAGAGAAATATGGATAGAAATCAGAGTATAGCTAGTTAAAACAGACAAGCTACTTCTGTTGCAGTCAGTTCAGTCACATGAAACAGAAACATACTGCGAAATTGCATGCCTTTTAAGAAATAGGAGATAAAGTGGAAGCTCTACCAACACCTGATCAGAGGAGATATAAAATGGCTGATATGTATTGCGAAAAGAAAAGATTACTAGAGAAAAATGACAGGACCTAAAATCCGGGATATGGAGCTCTTTGCTCAGAAACATCCATAATCTATAACATATCCTGGATAATTCAGTATGGAGAATCAAAAACCACCTCCCACGCAGTCCCCTCTTTGTGACAAAAACTTAAGTAGGGGCAAAATTGCTAACCCAATATGTAGCAATCTAACACTGTTTTGAGACCACCCAAATATACTTACATGCATATTTCACAGAAGAAATCTCAGTAAATTGTTTCCCTGAGAGCATCTAAGCAAAAATACAGCTTTAGCCAGGGGGTTAAGAGTTCAGTGTGATTATTCTCTTTCCATTTTCCTTATCAATTCTTCTCTTTTCTTGGTTATTCTATTCGAATCATGGTTATATTATTCTCAGATGGACTCGCTCGTAACCCAGTGCAGAAGTACAGACTTTGATAAATTCCTTGGATGGAACATGTTCAAGAAATATGCCAATTGAGTGAAAGAAGCAGGGTTCATCAGGAATGCTGATGAATTCCACAGCAAAAGGGTATTAAGAACAATATAGAATGGAGACAGTAACGAGAATTGCATGCATTACAGAGCAATATGGAATTAAAATTACAAGAAAAGATATGAAATGCAGATAATAAGTATGAAAAAAACACTATCAAATTCAAAACGGAAAAGGCTATTAAGAACCAAAAGGGAAAAGAAGTAAGAGAGCAAGAACCCTAACCACTGACGTAAAGCTTGGCTTTGGGCCAACTTCTGTCGGTGGAGGATGAAGAAAGAGAAGCCCGGACGGAGTAGCGGACAGTTGGGGAAGATTCTAAGGAAAGGAATCGCCTCTTATTATGAGGAAGAAAGCTGCAATTGTAAGTAATGGAAGAGGTGCTGAGATGAAGTGATGGCTTTGCTCTGAAAATGGTATCAGATGATGAAAGCGGGGCAAGGGGGAAGTGCAGGGCTCCTGCCATTTTCACTTGCAAGCTCTTCTGTAAATGTTTCCACTCCCAACTGTAAGGTCACAATTCTTCGTATAATAACCGTATAAATAGCCCTCAAATTTAGCTTTTTTCAAGTTTTTACCCGGAAATTTGTCCTCCTTTCTAATAAAGCCCTTGATGTACAAACGATGGTTATCAAAGCATAAGGTAATATTGCCCACTATTACTAAAGGCCTAGTTCAACTAATTAAACATTTAAGATTTTAATTTTAAAATCTTAAATTTAAATCTTAGTTTAGTAGAAAAGAGTTTTAGAAAATAAAATATGATATATCATCAAATATATATATATATATATATATATCGGGAAACTGGTTTGCAGCCGGTCCTACAAATTTTTAGGCGGAAGGACTTATTTAAACGACATCGTTTCAAGTTAAGCCCTCGCCCCAAATTTGTTTTTCTCGTCTTCAACTTTTCCCTCTTTCCAAAAATTCACAAACCCTTAATATGAGCAGGAGGTATTTCCTTGACACAAGCAAAAAGTATACAATTGACTGGAAACAAAAATCCCAGAAACAGGCTTCATTTCTTTCTTTCTCTTATTAAAAACCCAGAAACAAATACTAATCTTTTCAAATACCCAATTCGAAATTCAAATAAACTCAAATACCCAAATGAGAAAAGGCAAAAACCGAAAGGCCCAAGGAAATACCTCTGCTCATAGGATTATCTTTTATCGACAAAAGATCCAACAAAAAGTGCCAGCCAAGAAAGCTTACTTTTGACGGGGTGAACCTATTCCACAACATTTTGTTTTTTGGTCGTTCTTCCTCTATGATTCCAAGCGGAGATTTGCAGGGGAAACTGAAAAAGAGTGGAATTGAGTGAAGGAAATCAAAGATAAAATAGGGGTTCTGAATGAAGAGAAAAAGAGGAAAATCGAAGAATAAAAGGTGAAGTGGTTATTGATGAAGCAGCATAAGCAACAGCAACAGCACCAGCTAAAATTGATGAGTGGAAGAAAGCATGGAGGCTCACAGAAAAAACCAAAGCAATCTCCACTTAATGAGTTTCCATCATTGGGTTGGGTAGTGACGTGGTTATTGAAGATGAAGAATTCAGAGATAGAATTATTTGGGGTTTCTAAGTTTTTGGAAACAAGGGTGGGTTGAATGGCGAGAAAGGTAACCTTGGGGATGAGAATAAGTGCTATAACTTGAAACGGTGTCGTTTAAATAAATCATTCCGCCTAAAAATTTGTAGGACCGGCTGCAAACCAGTTTCCCGTATATATATATATATATATATATAAAGCAATATATGGTATGTAACTTATGTACACATCTATTTTTCATTGTCCACTTTATCCCCATACTTTGCCAAAAAAAGAATTTAATATGTCCAATGCTATCAACGTAAATAGCTCAGTGGTTATTTTTTACCGTTGAAAAGAAGAAATCCTAAATTTGAATCGCATGGTATGTGGATGAGGTGAAATAGGAGAAGGTGAAATAGGAGATGAGAAATGATTGCCTTCCATTATGCAACCAAAAAATAAAAAGTAAAAACCATGTTGTCCAACATTCAGTAGCCTAATTGTCACTCCTTTTGAGAGAAACTGCTAAAACACTTATGTTTTGAATTTTAAATTTAGATACTAGCATCTAATTCTGTCCAAAAGAAATTCCACCTGTTCAAATAAGAATCTTACATGTCATGATATTTCACATTTTTAATGGTGCTTTGGTTCTTGGATAAGCTAAATGAGGGAATATTTTTCTCAATACAAGGGTTATTTATGTTTTCCATGTTGGATTCTTGGGCTAATGGAAACGTGGTAATGTCGAAGGATAAAACATGTGAGTTAACCCTCAATTCATTTGATTATTCATCATTTGGCAGTAGACCTGGCAAAAATCCACCCGACCCGTCAACCCGACCATAACCCGACCCTTAAAAAACGGGTTAGGGTTTACATATTTCAACCCGCAACCCGTAGATAACCCGTATCATCAACCCGTACGGGTCACGGGTCGGGTTAGGGTTAACCCGTGGGTTGACGGGTTGACCCGTTTGTTTTATTTTTTATTATTATTTTTAAATATTATACTTATCATCCTTAATTAATTTTCCTATTGACAACTCCTTTCATTAATTCATACTCCCTAATTTCTAGAGAAAGAAGAAGAAATTATGATAAGTTTGATTTAATTACCCAACTATTATTATTATTATTATTTTTGGTATTAACAATTACCCAAGTATCATGAATGAAATGATAATGCAACTAAAAATATTAAAAGATGTGATATTAGGACATAAACATAATAACTTAGTGAAAGATGTTCTTGGAAGAGCAATTTTATCATTAAAAAAATGGATTAAACTACTTCATAATGTTTCAAGATAATTATAAAATTAAAACTTTATTTTTCAAGAAATTTAAATATTTTACGTTTAATATTTTTATTATTAATCAATTTATTATTATTTATAATCTTTTTATTTTTTTCTAAATTTAAATGTTTGTAATTGAAATTATAAAGTATTTAGTGTTAATGAATCACAATATTTTAATTATATTTAGATATATATAATTTTATTTGTGTATAATAAAATTAACGAAAAATAATTATAAAAAATGAAATAAGGTTAACCTGCGGGTTAACCCGTAACCCGTTAGGGTCGGGTTAGGGTTAGATGTTTCCAACCCGCAACCCGTTTATAACTCAACCCGTCTAATCCATTACCCGAGTTGACCCGACCCTAACCCGACCCAACCCGCCCGTTTGCCAGGTCTATTTGGCAGTCCTTTTATTTTTAACCCCGTGACTCTTGGATTAAGTCTTTTGTTGTTGAGCGTTTAAATTGGATGATTTTTAGTAATTTGTTATTTTATATAAAGTGATGATTTAATATATTTTTTTTAAAAATCTATTCAACAGAAATTTTTGCAACTAAACCAAACTAAGATAATTTATTGAGTTAGAGTTGGCTCAAATCGTAAAATATATTTAAAAAATAGGCCTTTTGTCCGTACATTACACAAGTTGTTATTCAATTTTTTATAGGTTAAATATCTTTTTTGGTCCTTCTGTTATAGGAAAAAGCCTCTTTTTAGTCCCTGTACCGAAAAAATCTCCTTTTTGTCCTTACTGTTCACAAATTCGGTCTCTTTTTAGTCTTTTCGTTAAATTTTGGCTGATGTGGCAAGTTAATTAATGAAAAATTTTATTTTTTTTCTTTACTTAAATTACGTGTGAAATCCATTTGGCAAAACTTGATGACATGCCCAAATTTTTTATCTTTAATTATCAATTTACCCTCATTTTCTTCCCTCATCCTCTCTTTCCTTTAGCCTTTTTTTTCTTTTTTCTTTTTTCTTTTTTTTTTGTTACCTTTAGGCGAACCGAGGAGCCTGGGTTCACGATGAACCCACAAGCTAGATTCATAGCAAACCTAGGCTAGGTTCGTTGCGAATCCAGGCTAGGTTTGTCGCGATGAACCTTGCTTGTGGGTTCGCAACAAACCTAGGAGCGTGGATTCACGACGAACCCAGGAGCGTGGGTTCGTGATGAACCCAGCTCCTAGGTTCGTTGTGAACCCAGTCGCTGAACCCAGTCGCCTGGGTTCGTCGTGAACCCAAGCTCTCGGGTTCAAGACATGGTCCTCTTGTGGTAATTTGCGGCACTTCAAGCACGGAAAAATGTTAGTTGGTAAGATTGGATTGATTTGGTTAAATGATTCTGTGATCAATTGAGCACCAAGACTTGGGTTAATTACCTGTTTTTAACAAGTTCTTCCAAGAAGGAAGTTGAATAGGTTTTGTTGGTTCGCGATGAACCCAATCGCCTGGAGGTGATCGGTTTGGTTTTCTAGTTTAGGCCATTGACATTGAGTGCTAGAATTTCAGATCCTCAATTTTCAATTTCTTGAAATTTTTGCTACTCTTGGGTTCATTTCTGCTTCTGTTGTCGGATGTTTCCAGAGCTGTTTGTTTGAGAAGAACATGCTTTCTTTTTTTTGGCAGGGATTGAGAACCTAGCTCACGCCTGGGTTCGCGACTTGGCACAGATTGAGAACCTAGCTTGCACCTGGGTATGTCGTGAACCCAAGCGCGAGCTGGGTTCATTGCCAACCCAATCACACGACCTGGGTTCATTGCCAACGTAGTCGCGAACCTAGTCGTGCAAGATGGGTTCATCTTGGGTTCGCGATGAACACAGGCACTTGGGTTCATCACAAACCCGCAAGTTGGGTTCACTTGAAGGTAAAAGGGAAAAAAGACAAAAAAAAAAAAAAAGGCT